AGATGCATTTATTTGCATGCAGACAAAGCACTTATACACATACAATATAAACAAATCAAAAATTTTTTTAATTTTTTAACTGAAAACTATTTCACATTTTTAGGAAATGATACAATTACATGTATTCAAGACCAGTTCATCTTAATTTTGTATTAAAGGATTAAGTTAATGAAATAGACTTTCAGTATAAAAAAGTTGTGTTTGGCCAGGCGTGGTGGCACATGCCTTTAATCCCAGCACTGGGGAGGCAGAGGCAGGCAGATCTCTGTGAGTTCAAGGCCAGCCAAGTCTACATAGTGAGTTCCAGGAGAGCTAGGGCTACAGGGAGACCAAGAAAAAAGAAAAAACGTTTGTTTGAAAGTCAACCTACATTATTCCATTAACCTACTTTAGATCCACAGTAAAGAAGGCTTTCACATTGTGTCAGCAAGCTATCACCATCCTAGGAAAGTTAGATTTCCTTCTCATTGTTCTGTATTTTGTGACAAGATTTATTCTACTAAACAGTCCTTTGGAAGCCAGTAGGCATTGAACAGACATTCTATGAGGATTTCTGTCATATTTTAATATTTTAATTGAGAGCTGCATTAGAAGATATACAGCAAGAACATGATGTAAACTGTGTTTATCAGAAAATAGATAAGCAAGAACTTATGAATGAAAGCCTTTAAAATTTGATCTTTTGCACTCATGCTTGTTCTAATGTTTATTTCTGTACAAACTGAAGATGCACAGTAATCAAAAGGGACTACTTCCAGAGCCAAATCCAGTACAGATTATGAAAAGTTTAAACAACCCTGCCATGTTACAAGTTCTTCTGCAACCCCAGCTGTGTGGACGGGCCATTAAGCCAGGTAAGAACCACTTACCCGCATTAAACACAGACTGTCGTCATGAACGTAATCCTGCTGCATTGTACGTGAAATGTGAAAATGTACTCACATGTTAAAATACATTTAAGCTTGTCTGTTGATATTTTTCTAAGAACTATTAGTTATTTTTAGTCAGTTATCTGAGATGATAATGTATTTAACTATGCTGGTAGGTGCAGTCTACTCATGTGCTTCCCTTTTCTGTACCATCAATAAGCATGTATTAAACCTTACCTTGAGTTCCTAGTTAACAGGACTTTATAAACCAAGCAAAAATGAGTATCCTACTCTGTTGTAGACTGCAGGACAAAGAGCGTGGTACCTGTCTGTCTCTGGGACCATTTTAGCAGGTGTTTTGTTGAATGTGTTCTATCTGTTCCTCTTTGCTCTTCTTTCTTTTTCGTTATAAAGTCTTTTCATTTTGTACCAAATGACGAAAGCTTCATTATTTTCTAAATATTCTAATCTTTATATTATCAGTATATGTTGAATACCAAGCTATTTGTTCTTCTTTTTCTGGTATTACTTTCTGAAATGTACAACTTTATATACACAAAATGTCTGTGGCTGTGTTAGGAGGAAACAATGCCTGTATTCAATGCTGAAGTTTGGAACAAATGTATTTAGAGCAAACATACTTTTATATTTATTCAGTTTTAATCCCAGCTAGCCCAACACAGACTCATGTACTAAGTAACCCAGGCCCAGACATTAACGGTTCAGTCCTCTGTGACTGTTCCACATAAGACCTCAGTCACAGTTCAGGATTCTGTAGGTTTCCTGTATTTATGGCTATACAAGATGGGGAGTTCCAGGACCCCTCAGGTTGGTAATCCTCTAGAACATCCCATAGAACTCAGGAAAGCACTATGATTATGACTATAAAGGATATAACGAGAATAAGAAGAAACACAGGTGTGAAGAGGCCTGACAGAGCTTCAGGGCTTCCCCCATCCAACCAGGCCATGACACTCTACACATCAGGTGTCTTTAAAATTCTGCTATTTGACAGCTTCATACATGTATATAATGTATTCTGATCACCCTTTTCCCCTCCTTTACTCTCTGTTCCATCCCTCCCAACACCCCCCCCCCCAACCATTACCGGATCCTTTCCCAGATTCATGATTTTTTATTTTGTTTTATGACCCATTTCCTTTAACCAGGGCCATCAGTTTAACTATGGAATTGGAGCCTGGTGGGGCCACTAATGGGTCCACAACTGAAGGCAATGACTACCCTTCTCTCTGAGTCTATCAGTAGCCAATATTTCAGCAGTGAAGGGTAGAGCCCCCTGAGTCCCTCCTCTCTCCCTGCCTGACTATTGGTGGTTCCATTCTTGTGCAGGCTTAGTGCAGGCATCTGCAGCCACTGACTGTGATCATAATGGCTGTGTCTTGCCCAGGAGAAGACGGTTCCCAGCCCCTTTCCTTGTCTTCTGTCTCTTAAATTCTTTCTGCCCCCTCTACCACAGTGTTCCCTGAGTCTTATAGGGAACACTATAAATGTCTTATTTGGGGCTGGGTACTCATCAGTTAGTTTTTCTGAGCACTTTGTGCATCCCTGAGTCTCTGCATTTATCACCATTCACAGGAAAGGGACTTCTCTGATTAAAGCTGAGAGGAGCGTTTTTCTATGGATAAAAACAAAATACTTAGAAGGTAGCTTGACACTATATCAATTTGCTTAAAAACCAGTGTTCAGCTCCTGTCTGGGGCGTATGATCTCCCTGACCATGAGGTTTTTTTTTTATCAGATTTACAGTACCAGGCAGGGATTCTCTGTTGTGGTCAGGTCTTAAATCCTATCAGAGACCAGTTGGTTACCCCCACAACACTAGTGCCACTATTGCACAAGTGAGCATATCTTGCCTAGAAGATTGGCCTTGTAGATCATAGGACTCACAGCTGGGTATGACCATTGATTTTTCTTCTCCTGTAGCAATTTACATAGCATGTAACAGGAGTATGAAAGCTAGCCAGCAGGGAAGAGGCAGCCATCTCAGTTTCAGATTGCTTTCTCTATGTCATGCATCCAGGGTATCTGGTGTCTTCAGCGATGGGATGTTATTATTCTCTAGTTCTGCTGGGCAACCAAGAAGGATGACTAGAGCTTGAATTGTTTAGAGTGCCCCTGATGCCTCCTTGACCAACTACTCATAAGGAGTTATCTCATCTCTGGCACTGGATTTTTTTTTTTTAATAGCCCACAGCTTCTGGGAACAGCTTTTTCTAGCCATGCAGGATCTCTGCAGGTGTCAGAATCTTTATAAGCATTTCACTATGATGGGATAATTCATAGTTTCTACCCATATTGAATTCACTCTGTGGTTTGTTCCTGTCCTTGGGAGAAAAGGCTGATATCACATGTCAGAACCCTAAACCTCTAATCATATTTTATCTTTAGCTATGGGCCACCCCATCCTGAGAATAGTGTGGCTCACCTTGATCCCCTCATTGACATAGCAAGGACTCTCCTATAAAATGGGAAATTCCAAGGATTTAGAGTCTTCTGGGAAGCAGAAACAAAAGTCAGTTGTGTTCATTAGCTGGGTGTGGTGGCACACACCTTTAATCCCAGTACTTGGGAGGCAGAGGCAGGCAGAGCTTTGTGAGTTCAAGACCAGCCTGGTCTACATAGTGAGTTCCAGACCAGCTTAGGCTACAACAGGAAGACTCTGTCTCAAAAACAACAACAACAATATTCATACTAAATGTTTTATAAAATCAACTATTTGTGTGTGAGAAATAACTTTCTTTTGCAGGCCAGTGAGATGGCTCAGCAGATAAAGGTGCTTGCCACTAAGCCTGATGATTTCAATCATTGGGACCTATGTGATAGAAAGAGAGAACCAACTCCTACAAGTTGTCCCCTAACCTCTGCACATGTAGACACACGCATTAAAATAATAAATAAATAAACCAGATATCTCTTTAGAAGTTGCTAATATAGAAATGCCTTCTTGCTGGGCATAGCAGAACATGCCTTTAATCGCAGAACTTGGGAGGCACAGGCAGGCAGATTTCTGTGAGTTCAAGACCAACCTGGTCTACATAGTGATTCTAGGCCAGCTGGGACTACAGGGAGACCTTGTCTCAAAAAAAAACCCCAACAAAACAAAAAGAAAAAGAAAAAAAGAAATGCCTTCTTATGTCTTGATCACATAACTAATTAGCTCATTATTTCCCAAGTAAACTCATTCCCTCACCTGGTAATTTTAATCACTAGAAAGATCTGCAATTCTAGCCCCTTGTCTATTATGATTAAACAAATTAAATCCTCTTTCTTCTTCCATAAGCAAAGCCTTCTAATATTGGAAGATAAGTGCCCTCCAGTCCCGGTCAGTTTGGGTTTGGTTTTCACAGCCTTTCTTTCCTATGTTGTTTTGTTGTTTGTTTGTTTCTTCTGACTGTGCCACCCTAAAAGTAAAACAAATTTTGATAAAAACCCAATATATACATATTTCCCAAGCTATGTGTTAATTTGTCTACCAGGCAAATCTACCACAGTCAATCCATACATTAAGAAATGGTTGAATTTAATAGCTTCCTTTCCTAGGGGGAAAAGAAATATACATAGGAGGTATAGCATTTTCTTTCTTTATATTTTATTTATTATTTTAACTTTATGTGTATGAGTATATTGCCTGCATGTATGTGAGTGCACCCGTGTCGTGCAGTGCCGTGGAGGTCAGAAGAGGGCTTCGGATTCCCCTGGAACTGGAGTTAAGGACAGTTCGTAGCCGCCATGTGGGTGCTGGGAATTGAACCCGGGTCCTCTGCAAGAGCAGTCAGTGTTCTTAACCGCTGAGCCATCTCTCCAGCCCAGCATTTTCTTTTTAAAAAATTATTTTTATGTGTATGAGTGTTCTACCTCTGTGCAAGGACACCCATGTGTGCAGTGCCCGTGGAGGCCAGAAGAGGACATTAGATCCACTAGAACTGTAGTTACCAATGTTTATTAGCCATTATATGGGTGCTGGGAACCGAACCCAGGTCCTCTGGAAGAGCAGCCAGTGCTCTTAACCACTGAGCCATGTCTCCAACCCCAGCATTTTCTTTTTATAATTTTCCTGTATCTCTTACACCTCTTTTGGGATCTACAGTTCCATGTTTGATTTTCCATAATTGTCACAGAAGATATACTCTAAATTCCCCTAAGTTGTTTTCTTGTGGATGGATATAGTCTAGTCTGTAGATACTGAGAGGGAAACCAATTCAAACTGAGACCACAGTACACTCAGAACACTTATCATCTCTAACACTAGAACTCTGACCTCCCACCAGTGAAAGGACCACTCACAATCTGAAAGTTTGTTTTTTAACCTGAGTTTCTGCGTGATAGACTGTATGTAAATCAGTGTTCCTGTTGCCATCCTCAGTTTTGGTTAATGGTGCCTAGGAGGATGTGGGGGGAAGGATGGAGCTTCTGTGCCCTCTCTTGAGTGCCCAACCCCCAGGAACCTCAACTGTACAGGCACTCTCAAACCCTTTTCTTGGGGTGTTGGGGGGAGTTGTGGGGAATTCATTTCATCAGCATGATAGAAACAACAGTTGTGTGAAAATGTATTTAGATGAAGAGTGTGATCTGTGCTAAGAGACTGTGGCAAACCCAGTGAGGCTTGTCTCTTAGGCTTTTCTTGGCCTACCATTCAAAAAGAGAATTTCCATTATGGTCAATTCCAAGACAGAAAGGTAGGGACAAAGAGTTTCTATGGCCAGCCTTGAGGAGAAATTCTAATTTCTACAGCCTACTTTGTGGAGGGACTTATGAGCCAGCAACTGTGGAGAACAACCAAAAAAACGCACATCATAGCACCATATCTAGGCTTCCTGAATGGTACTAGAACATGGTATGCACAAACACAAACACCTGTCCCCATTGGTTGGTGTTGATTGGCAAGGTATGATGGTGGTTTTTTTGTTTTGTTTTTTGTTTTTTACCATGGCCATTTCTACTGATGCAGTTTAAGATTGTGCTGGTGTTTAAAGAAGCATACTATACCCTTGGGTCTTTTGGAAATGTCCACACTTGTGGATTCTGGGTTTTTCAAAAATAATTCTGCCCCAGTATCATTTCTATCTCTTTGTCCCACACTGTATATCCACTCTGGTTTTCTACGTAGATTGGTGTATGGCCATATAAGAGTATGCTTTTAAAAAAAGATTTTATTTTAGATTAAAACTTTTTAAAGATTAAAAATTATGTGTATGTGAGGGAGGGCATGTGCACATGAATGCAGGTGCCTACAGAGGCTGGAAGAGAGCATCAGATGCCCTAAAGCTGGAGGTACACTGTGAGCTGCCATATGTGGATGCTGGAAATAAAACTTGGGTCCTCTGCAAGAGCAGTATGCTTTCTTAGCCACTGAACCATCTTTCCAACCTTAGAGGTATGCATTTTTAATTGTTTAGTGTTAACTTTCTCTATTTTAAGTAAGATGCTTTACTGTTTACATGGATGGAGAAATTATTTCTCAAGCCTGGCTTTGTTTTTGTTTGGGTTAACAAAGGAGATTAAATTCCCACCTCACATGAGCACAGGCAAAGCTAGAGAATCTTTCTTTTTCTATTTTTTAGGGCAGGGGTTAGGTGCTGGGGATTGAACCCAGGGCCGATTTCCTGCCAAGAATGTTCTTTACCCTTGAACACATCCCCCACCCTCATCAATAGACCCAATGAGCAGTTAAGTCCTCTCTAGCTGGGAGCCATTACAAATAAAATTGCAACAGGTATTTGAGTACTAGTCTTTATGTAGACTTACGTTTTATTTCCTTGGATAAATACCTAGGTGTAGATTTGAGTCAGTTGGTGGATGTACATTTAAGTTGTAGGAAACTGCTCAACTTTTTTCCCAGTGTTGAGCAATTTCTATTGTCCCCACAGTATACAGGGCTCCAGTTTGCACAGTATCCCCATCACATGTGGTATATGGTACTTTCTAATCTGAGTCTTTCTACTGAGTATGAGATAGAATCTCATTATGTAGCTAGTGTTTTCTTTTTTTTAGTCTTTTTACAGCTACATTATAAAAAGCGATTACAAGGCCCTTTTCTGGACTCTGTGTGTGTGTGTGTGTGTGTGTGCATGTGTGTGTGTGATGGCCAGTTGCATAACAATAATTAGATGAAATTTATTCATGTATTTTCCATCTCTGGTTCTTTTGTTCTCTCTCTCTCTCTCTCTCTCTCCCTCTCTCTCTCTCTCTCTCCCTACCTACCTATCTATCTTCTGTCTATCATCTGTCATCCATCTATCTACCTATCATCTATCCATCTGTCTATCATCCATCTATGTATCTATCATCAATCCA